TGTCAGAAAATGCAACCCTTCTCTCAGAAAATTGCTGCAGTTGCAAATGTTTTGGTACTCACATGTTCATTTCTTTGCTTTGCATTGGAACAATGCAAAAAACAGAGAAGAAAAAGTCAAATCTGATACAATCCCACACAGAAACCCAAAAATGCACAGGCCAAAATTATTGGTACCCTGTCTAAATTGTAAGAAATAATTGCTTTTTAAGCATGTGATGCTCCTTTGATTTTCATTTAGACAATAAATACAGTAATCACACTTGCAGCCAGTTAAGATGAAGAAACATTGACTCAACCTTTGTGTTGTGTGTGACACTGAGCATGGAGAAAAGAATGAAGTGTAAAGAGTTGCCTGTGGATTTGAGAGAAAAAATTGTGGAAACCTATTGATAATTTCAAGGCTAAAAGTGCTCCTGTGTCCACGGTACATAATATCATCAAGAACTTTACAACTCATGGCACTGTAGCTAACCTCCCTGAACATGGACGGAAGAGCAAAATTACTGAAAAATTACAACGAAGGGTTGTTTGAATGGTGGATACCGAATCCAGATTAACTTCCAAACAAATTTAAGATGATCTGCAGACACAGGGTACAACAGTGTCAGCTCACACTATCCGTCGCCATCTGAATGAAAAGGGATGCTATGGTAGGAGACCCATGAGGACACCACTGCTGACAAAAAGGCAGAAAAAAGCAAGACTGGAGTATGCCAAAACTTATGTGACAAAACCACAGTCCTTCTGGGAGACCGTACTGTGGACAGATGAGATAGTAGAGCTTTTTGGCAAAGGGCATCATGGCACTGTTTACAGAAAAAGAAATGAAGCATTCAAAGAAAAGAACACAGTCCATACAGTCAAACATAGTGGAGGTTCAAAGATGTTTCGGGGTTGCTTTGCTGCTTCTGGCACTGGATGCCTTGACTGTGTGAACGGTATCATGACATTTGATGATTACCAAAGAATTTTGGGGTACAACGTAGTGGCCAGTGTCAGAAAGCTGCGTCTCCACCAGAGTTCATGGGTCTTCCAGCAGGACAATGACCCGAAGCACACTTCAAAAATTACTCAGAAATGCTTACAAGCAAAGCGCTGGAGAGTTCTGAAATGGCCAGCAATGAGACCAGATCTGAATCTCATAGAACACCTGTGGAGAGATCTCAAAACAGCAGTTGGGAGAAGGCATCCTTCAAATCTGAAGGCCCTGGAGCAGTTTGCAAAAGAAGAGTGGTCCAAAATTCCAGTAGAGAGGTGTAAGAAACTCATTCATGGTTACAGGAAGCAATTGATTTCAGTTATTTTTTTCCAAAGGGGGTGCGACCAAATATTAAGTTAAGGGTGCCAATAATTTTGGCCAGTGCATTTTTGGGTTTCTGTGTGGGATTGTATCAGATTTGACTTGTATTCTCTGTTTTTTCTGTTGTGTTCCAGCGCAAACCAAAGAAATGAACGTGTGAGTACCAAGACATTTGCAACTGCAACAATTTTCTGAGAGAAGGGTTGCATTTTCTGACAGAATTGCAAGGGTACCAATATTTTTGGCCCTGACTGTAGAAATGTTAAAGGTTTATTAAAGGATTAAAATGTAGGTCCTTCCCTTTATACAGGATTCTCTTAATTTTCGACTGTCCATTTGATAAGCTTTTGACAAGCTTCTAAAGGACACAATTGAAGCATCTAGCAGCTTAATTTAGAGCAAAGACAAAAAGAGGAACAGCTTTCTTCCATATCATTTTGAACATTCTCTCATAAATCCTCTCCTACTTCGGTATGTGCAGTGCTACTGTTTCGCTATTGTTTGACATACTTTTCTGCTTTAAAGAAAGCAGAAGTTACAAAGTGACTAAATTCATTAATGTGCAACAATATTCCAATACAGACTTCTATTTTTAATACACTCACATTCCAGTCAATGGTGGAAAAGAAAGGATGCCTCTTTATTTCTTCAACCCCATCAGGACCAGCTCCTGGAATTATAAGAAACACAAGGTATGAACATACTGCAAATCAAGCACTATATTGACAAGCAGAACAAAAAGAACTACCATTCTCATTTCCCTTTCCTGGCTACAGGGCTGAGCAAGTCCATTTCAAAACTAAAAGGTGATTCTATACCAGCTTGTGGCAGAACATAGTTAACCTGTTGCTAAATGTTTTTAAACAAATGACGAGCACCCACTGGATGTGTTCAAATCATACAGTGAATCTCAATATGTATTTTTTGATCCCAGTCTCTACATAGCCAACAGATTTAAGAGAAAGTCTGCAGTTACGGAACAACTTTACCGCAGAATATAAAATAAAAGAATTGCAAAGTTCAGGGCTTTTCATATATACAAAGTTAATTTTAAATCAAAGAGGGTGTTTAGGTCACTGATATTATATCCTCTCCTTCCTCACCACAAAAATAAAAGTAGAACTTGGGTCACACTTATCAGGATTGTAAGGCAGGTCATCTTGCAACTTGATAGTTGTCTGAAAATGCTTACTTTTAATTTTAATATTTTATAGTTTTCTAATTGCTTGTATGTATTTATATTAAGATGGCAAATGCCATCTTTTTAAGGGTGGTTCAATTTCCATTTATGCATACAGCCTGACTATGAAGTAATAAGAGTATTTGTATTCATAACTCTGGTTGAAAAGCATCTTTAATCCACCTCTCCACAGTTCAGTCTAAGGCTACTGAACACTGCAAGACTCAGCAAATAGATTTCAAAGCATTTCACAGCATTAGGTGCTTCCTGTGTATGCCCAGCCTTCTTCACCCTGGGTCCCAGTAAATGTTGTGAAATATAGGTACCACCATCCCTTACGCTGGCACCTGTTGTTGGTGCTGATGAAAACTGTGTTCTACCAGATATGGAGAGATGTAAGCTGCAGAGGCATAACCTACCTAATCTATTTGAAGGATTCCTTTTAAACAACATTCTCAAAAGACTTTGAGCTTCAGGGCTAAGGAACTGTGGCATTCCAAGTTTCGCTCTAGAAAAGGAGAGATGTGAATTTATAGCATGGTTATTTAAAAAGAAATCAAATAGGGTTAATTTAAAATAAGCACCTTGTGACCTGTGACATACAGTTTTGATGAGAAAGGACTTATATCTTTTAAACCAAGTAGCCTGAAAATGTACATGTAGCTAGGATATTGGTATTCATGCCACCAGCTCTAAATATCGTAACTTTTAATTTTCCAGATTAGCCTATTCAGCTTAAACAGATAAGCTTTTTAGAAATACTACACTATAAGGTCCTTTGACTGCCAGGTGATCATTTGGTGAAGTAACTTTCCAGTGATGGTCCTTCCTTCTCTGCATCAAGGCTGGGCAATTTGAGAGCCTCTAGTTGTTCAGACAGCAAATTTTATCATTTCTGCTAGCAGAGTCAATGGTCAGAGATTATGGGAGACATAGTTTAAAATCATCTGGAGGACTGGGATCTGCGGGCAAGTCACAAGAATAAATGCCTCCCACAATACTGCTCTTTGGAAAGAGCAGTATTGATACAGTATTGAACACACCCTATCCGATCTGATTTTGGAAGCTAAGAAGGGACAGATTGTGGATTAACAGTTTAAGTAGTGGGGACTGGCCACAGTTTAATGGCTTTGCCTATAGAAGGTTCCAGGTGGAAATCCACAGCATTTCTAGGTTGACTAGGAGAGAGCAGCTGCCAGTCAGAGTAGACAATACTGGGCTAGATGGATCAATAGACTGACTCAGTATAAAGCAGGTTTCTAGGCTTCCAAATTCTGAAAGTTCTCACCACAGCTGGAGAGATAAAAACCCAACAAACAATCTCGTAAGTAATCTTGGCATCACTGTCCAGGAAGCATCTCTTACATTATAAAGAGACTTTAAAAGAGAGAGAAAAATCTGCTGACAAGATGTGGGTGGTAGTCTTAAAATTCGCACAAAAGGTTGGCAGTAACTCAAGACCAACACTGGCCCAAGGCCACTGCTTGTGACACAGCACCAGTCCTGCTATAAAAAACATTAAATTTGAAAGAGACGTTGTCATTGTGATTTCAGTTTACGTACACACATAATTCCTAATAACTTAAGCAGCAAGGGACTCTGACCTACAGTTCATTATTCCTGACTTTATCATCAGTTTGGCATATAACTGCTTCTCTATTAGTGAAAGACAATTTATATTATATTTTCTAACTTGCATATAATTAGAAAATATCAGAGTGGTCATATAGACCTGATGGGTGGGATACAAATCAAATCAATCAATCAATCAATCAATCAATCAATCAATCAATTGAACAACTTTGAGAAAGAGGGAGAAAACAGAGAAATACTTACTTCAGTATCATATTCATAGTTTCATTTCGATCTTTACCTTGAAATGGTAGCGTACCAGTCAGCATTTCGAACTGGAAGAGAAATCAAACCAATACCCAACATTTAGGGGAAAAAACACATATTTCATATTGGGGGACATTAAAAGCAAACAAGAACTTGCCTAAGTGTTCCTTATATTATCTGTCAAGATGGCTTGAATTCCATTTACGATAGAACAGGGCATACAATTAAACTACAGTAAAATGGCTAAACGAGGTATTTATATGAAATAGTTTATGTAAGTTCAGAACACTACTAGTAGTTACAATATTTTAAAATAACTGTTCCTTCCTTTCTCCTTCTCTCTTTCACACACTTCCTCCCACACACGATACCTCACAGATGCTTATTAAATAATAATTCAGAAAAAAAAAATGAAATTCTGTTTGGAAGGAGTTTGCTTTGATTGTACTTTATCGCCATAAAAATACATGTGCTGTGTAACAGAATCTTGTTCAACGAAAAGTCTTCTTATACCAAAGCATATTATGACTGACACTCATGAGACATTGTTTTAAATACTGTTGTTATATGTTTTACATGCTTTAGTTGGGCTGTTTTTAATGTATCTCAGGAAAAAAATTACAATTATACATTAAAATTTTAATCATTTTATCTTTTATTGTATTTTAATTGAATTTTAATTGTTGTAAGCCACCCAGAAACCTTTGGGTAGAGTGGGCGGCATATAAGCCAAATAAATAAA